CTCGCCCAACGGAAGAGGAGGCCGCCCCCATCCCTCGAGGCCCAGCGTGCGCCCAGGCGCCACCTGCACCGGCGCAGGAACGCACGCTGGCAGAGCGCAGAGCCGAGGAGGGGGCGAAGCCGTCGATCGGGCTGCTCCTCGGGCTCCTGGGCTCCAGGCAGGTCAGGGAGGGGCTGCCTGTGCCTGGAGGGTGAGCCCGATTCAGGGCGAGTCCGCCTCGGCGGGCGCAGGGCAGCCAGACTGCCAGGCCGAGAGGCGGCCGAGGCCGACGGCCCACTGCCTGCGCGGGCGCTGCGCGAGCGGGCGTGCCGAGACCGTTGGCACTGGTTGGCACTCGTCCGTGTGCGCGCGCACGGGTGTTCAAACTCCTCCGCCTCCAACGCCGCCTCCGCCACCTCTCCGTCGGACGGGGACGTGGTGGAGGAGGAGGGCTCCTCCTCCTCCTCCTCCTCCTCCTCCTCCTCCTCCTCCTCCTCCTCATTCTCATCATCATCCGCATCCGCATCCGCATCCGCATCCCATCCTCCTCCTCTCCGCCTCCTCCTCTCATCATCTCATCATCATTCATCATCATCATCATCATCATCATCATCATCATCATCATCATCATCATCATCATCATCATCATCATCATCAGCATCAGCATCAGCATCAGCATCAGCATCAGCATCAGCATCAGCATCAGCATCAGCATCAGATCAGCATCAGCAACTTCAACTTCATCTTCATCTTCATCTTCATCTTCATCCTCATCCTCATCCTCATCAGCATCTTCATCCTCATCCTCATCCTTGTCCTTACCGTCGGAGCGGGTTCGCATGAAGCATGCGTTCTGAGGGAAGCGGGTCCTAAGGTCTCTAGCCGCTTCTGGGCTCCAGGTGCCCTCCCTGGGCCCTGGGACGGTGAAAAAACAACCCGCCGGAATGACCTTTGGTGCGCGGCTTGCGGGTGACGGGGGGGGCTAAAGCCAAGCATGCATGCCACTATTGTCGCGCCCCCTGCACCGATCGGCCAGCCGCGCTCCAAAGGTCACTCTTGCCCAGAGTCATTCTTGCGTGAAACTGACCAACGGCTGATCCAGGACTTCATGTCGGCGGCGGGCGCAGGGGGGAAGTGAGAGGGGGCAGGCCTTCTCAAAAGGCGGCGGGGCTTCCTACCCCTCCTCTGGGCTCGCCGCGGGCCATGGTAGGAGGGGCCCCGCAGGATTTCGAGGAGGGGTTCTGCCGGAGCGGCGTGCGCGCGCGTCGTCTTCGTCGTACCCTCCAACGCGGATCGTGCGCGCGCGGGCCTGGGCGCAGCGTCGGAGGGTGAGGAGGAGGAGGAGGAGGAGGAGGAGGAGGAGGAGGAGGAGGATTAGGATGAGGATTAGGAGGAGGAGGAGGAGGAGGAGGAGGAGGAGGGACACCACCTGGTCGTGGAGGGGGGCTACCTGGTCGCCGCCGTCTCGGTGGAGCTCAGGATGTGCGGCCGCGCGACCGACCGTGCTTGCTGTTCGAGGAGGAGGAGGGCGAGGAGGAGGAGGAGGAGGAGGAGGAAGAAGACAAAGAAGAGGACGATCGATGGTGCCCTTGGGGACGTTTGTCGGATCGCTACCTCTCCCTGCTTCCTGTTGTACCACCTAGCTTGCCTCCCCACCTTTCCCCCGCACGGGCAAACGCCCCTGGGGGTGGGATGGCGGCATTTGCAGCATTATTGGTGCAATTTCCAAGTTCCAGGGAGGAGGAGGAGGCGGAGGAGGAGGAGGAGGAGGAGGAGGAGGAGAAGAAAGAAGAGGAGGAGGAGGACGAGGAGGAGGAGGAAAAGGAAGACGAGGAGGACGAAGAAGAAGAGGAGGAGGAGTAGGAAAACGAGGAACAACGAATGTTCAGATGATGACTCCCCCCGGAACCCGACTGCCATTCATGCGCCGCGGGACAAGTATGTTCTAAATTGTCCTTCTCGAGTTGCCCCGCGGAAGCCGAACGGTGCGATTGCGGCACGCGCACATATATATATATGTACACATACATTCACACATTTTTTACTATATATATATATGTGTACACATGTATATACACATAGATATGTATATACATATGTTTATATACATATATGTGTATGAGTATCTACATGTATGTATAGAGAGACTGTGAGAGAGAGAGACAGAGAAAGAGAACGAGAGAGAGAGAGAGAAAGAGAGAGAGAGAGATATACAGTAATAAGAAAGCGATGGAGAAGGATACATACATATCATCACGTGTATGGTTGTATGTATTTCAAGTCGCACGCGCGCGCATGCGCTAGCACGTGCGTCTGGATTGTATGCGTGTAGATGTGCAGGATACTTCGGTCGACAAGGAAATAGTTATCGTTTTGCTCAGACACTGTGCGTGGTGTCGCGCGCTACACGCAGACCGCATAGCGAGGATGAACGATTTGCCAAGGTTACCCTTGCATCTTTGCCTCTTCGGTCCGTCCTTTTCGATTTTTGCTGGCCAACGTCGTTCGAACAAAAAAAAGTTAACATGGCCTTCCAAGGCCCTTGCATCCTTACCGCGCGTCACTACGTATACGGGTTGTCGCGCGCGTGCGCGCCGGGGCGTCCAGTTCTCGCACTCGGTACTCGTTGGTGCCTGATGGGCCCAGCGCGTCCGCGCGCGTCCCGGCGTGCGCGCGCGGTTTTCCAGGCCGGATTACGTGTTTTTTTCCGCGTCCAATGCGCCCACCTCCGCAGGGCCGCCGCGGGCGCAAAACATGATGGTCCTTGAGCGCAGTCTCTATCCAAGCCAGGGTCGCATGGCGTGGCAGGCGTGGCCTGATGCCAACAGAAGACGCGCATTGCGCAGGAATCTTTCCCTGAACGCGGAGCGACAGGGCGGTCGCGGGGACGTCCCCGGCAATCTGGTTTGCCCTGCCATTTTTGTTTGTTATATGTGAATTGCAGCGCTGGGAGTAACTATTTTCCGACGGTCCTCCCCATACTTTTTTGAACAATGAATTGTACACATCAGGCGCGATCGCGCAATGTCACATGTTGTCTTTTTTTAACATATCCTTCCACTGCGTCGATTGCTGCTGTACCCGCTGACGCGTGTCATAACGATGGGCCAGGTGAGGGAGATGGGTTGGCGA